CTCGGAATACATATCCCAAAGGAAATAAATGATCTCACTTCAATAAATTTGAATAGAAAGTTAGCAAAAATAGATAAGATCTTACTTCCATGGAAAGGAAAATACCTGTCAATTTGTGGAAAAATCACCCTGATTAACTCTTTAGTATTATCCCAGTTTACCTATTTGCTTATGGTCTTGCCTACGCCTAGCGAACAGTTTTTGAAATTATATGAGAAAAAAATATTCAATTTTATTTGGAACGGCAAGCCAGACAAAATTAAAAGAGCATATTTATATAATGAATATGAATTCGGAGGACAGAAATTATTAAATATTAAAGCATTAGACCTATCACTAAAAGCTTCAGTCATACAAAAGTTATACTTAAATCCTTACTGGTTCTCAAGCAAATTAGTAAGATTGTCTCACCCAATGTTCAAGAAAGGCCTTTTTCCCTTTATTCAGATTACAACCTCTCACTTTCAGTTATTTGAAAAGGAAATAATCTCCCAAATGTCACTATTTCTAAAACAAGCCATAGAAAGTTGGTTGCAATTTCAATTTAATCCTCCAGAAACGACAGAACAAATAATGCAACAAATATTGTGGTTAAATTCAAATGTACTAATTGACAAAAAAACTTTATTTTTTGACAGAATGTTTAAAAAAGGTATAATCTTCGTAAATGATATCATCGGTAAGACTGGTGGAGTTATGACGCACATGCAGCTAACAATAACATATGGAAATGTCTGCTCTACCCAAAATTACAACCAAATAATTGCAGCCTTACCGCAAAAGTGGAAGAGGAAAGTGGAAGGGGGAGAAAGTAAGGAACTTGTGTGTCGGCCTTGCATTAAAGAACACAATTGGTTAAGGAAAACTGTGACAAATAAAAAAGTATATCAGTTTCACTTAAGGACCAAAGGATTGACAGCCATCCCATAAAGATTGCAAAATAGTTGGGAAGAGATCTTTGACGTACCGATCCCATGGCATAGTGTTTATGAACTGACACGCAAAACGACACCGGATTCAAAAATTAGAATCTTTCAATTTTGCTGTGAAGAGACAGAATCATTAGATCATTTTTTTGGTTCTGTCCATTTGTAGCTTGTTTTTGGACACAGGTCCAGGAATGGCTAAAGGATTGCAATATTTACCTGGAGCTAACCTTGCAGATAGCATTACTGGGTGATCTGAAAAGTCATAGTCAATCAATCAATAATATAATAATACTTTTAGCAAAAATGTTTATTTTTAATTCACAATCTGTAGAAGCAATGAGAATAGAAAGGTTCAGAACTTTTGTAAAACATCACAGTACGGTTGAAATATATATGGCAAATAGAAATCCTATATGGATGGTGTTAAGAGATAGATGGGAGGTATTGAATATTGAATAGAGTTGAAGGATGGGACTAATAACAAATAACAACAAATAATAACAAAGATAGCTAATAATGTAAGCATACTGTGTCCATAATAAGTATATAGGTTGTATGTTGGGAGCTTTTGGGAAAGAGCACAGTTAGAAAGATATGGCATATAGAAGCAAACCGGATGGACATCATGAAAATGATCGCAGAGGTTGAGAGTAGAAGAAGTTCAGGAGCAAAAAAAAAAGAAGAAAAAAAAAGACATATATATATATATATATATATATATATATATATACAGTGAGGAGAACAAGTATTTGATACACTGCTGATTTTGCAGGTTTTCCTACTTACGAAGCATGTAGAGGTCTGTAATTTTTATCATAGGTACACTTCAACTGTGAGAGACGGAAACTAAAACAAAAATCCAGAAAATCACATTGTATGATTTTTAAGTAATTAATTTGCTTTTTATTGCTTGACATAAGTATTTGATACATCAGAAAAACAGAACTTAATATTTGGTACAGAAACCTTTGTTTGCAATTACAGAGATCATACGTTTCCTGTAGGTCTTGACCAGGTTTGCACACACTGCAGCAGGGATTTTGGCCCACTCCTCCATACAGACCTTCCCCAGATCCTTCAGGTTTCGGGGCTGTTGCTGGGCAATACGGACTTTCAGCTCCCTCCAAAGATTTTCTATTGGGTTCAGGTCTGGAGACTGGCTAGGCCACTCCAGGACCTTGAGATGCTTCTTACGGAGCCACTCCTTAGTTGCCCTGGCTGTGTGTTTCGGGTTGTTGTCATGCTGGAAGACCCAGCCACGACCCATCTTCAATGCTCTTACTGAGGGAAGGAGGTTGTTGGACAAGATCTTGCGATACATGGCCCCATCCATCCTCCCCTCAATACGGTGCAGTCGTCCTGTCCCCTTTGCAGAAAAGCATCCCCAAAGAATGATGTTTCCACCTCCATGCTTCACGGTTGGGATGGTGTTCTTGGGGTTGTACTCATCCTTCTTCTTCCTCCAAACACGGCGAGTGGAGTTTAGACCAAAAAGCTCTATTTTTGTCTCATCAGACCACATGACCTTCTCCCATTCCTCCTCTGGGTCATCCAGATGGTCATTGGCAAACTTCAGACGGGCCTGGACATGCGCTGGCTTGAGCAGGGGGACCTTGCGTGCGCTGCAGGATTTTAATCCATGACGGCGTAGTGTGTTACTAATGGTTTTCTTTGAGACTGTGGTCCCAGCTCTCTTCAGGTCATTGACCAGGTCCTGCCGTGTAGTTCTGGGCTGATCCCTCACCTTCCTCATGATCATTGATGCCCCACGAGGTGAGATCTTGCATGGAGCCCCAGACCGAGGGTGATTAACCGTCATCTTGAACTTCTTCCATTTTCTAATAATTGCGCCAACAGTTGTTGCCTTCTCACAAAGCTGCTTGCCTATTGTCCTGTAGCCCATCCCAGCCTTGTGCAGGTCTACAATTTTATCCCTGATGGCCTTACACAGCTCTCTGGTCTTGGCCATTGTGGAGAGGTTGGAGTCTGTGTGATTGAGTGTGTGGACAGGTGTCTTTTATACAGGTAACGAGTTCAAACAGGTGCAGTTAATACAGGTAATGAGTGGAGAACAGGAGGGCTTCTTAAAGAAAAACTAACAGGTCTGTGAGAGCCGGAATTCTTACTGGTTGGTAGGTGATCAAATACTTATGTCATGCAATAAAATGCAAATTAATTACTTAAAAATCATACAATGTGATTTTCTGGATTTTTGTTTTAGATTCCGTCTCTCACAGTTGAAGTGTACCTATGATAAAAATTACAGACCTCTACATGCTTTGTAAGTAGGAAAACCTGCAAAATCGGCAGTGTATCAAATACTTGTTCTCCCCACTGTATATATAATAGAATTATTGTAAAATTAACTCTGTCCATAAGGTGTAGATAGTAAGTATAGACCGGAAGTAGAGGCCTGGGCATTGTTGTTCTCTAATTTACTCCAAGTAGGGAAAGGATGGTGGGGTTGAAAAGTAATAAAGGGGAGTATATATATATATATAAAAAACATGGGGGATTGGAAGTGATGCAGACAATTACATTGATAGAAGATACAATATATCTGCAATATTAAGCTGATCCATTCCCCCCCCCCAAAAAACTAAATAATAATAATTTAAAAAAAAACTAAAAAATAATTAAATAAAAAAATAAAAATAAAATAAAAAAATTGTCAACTGTAGCTATTATTTCCCTTAATAGTTTATTTTCCTAAGCATGACCTTCATCCACATACCAATTTCTTCCCAAACTTTGCTTTTTTGTGTCAGCAATTAGGCATTGTTCTTAGGCGGGGCTAGTTACCCCCAGGTACCCTATAATACCCATATTATCTGTCATTATTTACATGATGGAATATCTATTGTTTCTCCCTCCCTGAATCCACCATAGAGGTTAAAACCAGTCACTCCATCACATCTGGCCCAGTCCAGGGTATTTCAGGCAGTGAAACTGTTCAACTGCTAGACTGGTAGCTATGGGAGTGAAACTGAGATTTACATAGACTGGGCTGGGTGGTTCTGCTTGTCCCAGAATAGAGCAGTACTGTCACCAGATGTTCACTCTGTTCCCAGGGGGTTGGAGGTAGAGAAGACGATATGACTATCTTGAAGCTTTGATACTTGTAATATTATGTGGATCTTGTCAAACAAATGTAGCTTAATACAGGTGTGATCACATTGGTGAAATACATCGATCAAATGTTCAGTGACGTTAGCTTACTGTCTTTATCAGTCTATAAGTCAAGCAGATAAAACACTGTCCAAGAAAGATGAATAAGGAGTTCCATCTACTGAATGTCTCCAGACGTCTCCTGTTAATCTGTTAACATTGTAGTATCTAGACCTCTCCTGTTAATCTGTTAACATTGTAGTATCTAGACCTCTCCTGTTAATCTGTTAACATTGTAGTATCTAGAACTCTCCTGTTAATCTGTTAACATTGTAGCATCCAGACCTCTCCTGTTAATCTGTTAACATTGTAGAATCTAGACCTCTCCTGTTAATCTGTTAACATTGTAGTATCTAGACCTCTCATGTTAATCTGTTAATATTATAGCATCCAGACCTCTTCTGTTAATCTGTTAACATTGTAGTATCTAGACCTCTCCTGTTAATCTGTTAACATTGTAGTATATTTACCTCTCCTGTTAATCTGTTAACATTGTAGTATATTTACCTCTCCTTTTAATCTGTTAATATTGTAGAATATTGTGTTAGTATGTACTACTGGTTGATGACGATGTGGTTTCAAGTGAGAACATAAATAACTAAGCAATGACATTTAGGTCGGATAGTTTTCAAACTGTCAACAAGGCTTTATGAATATATTTCTATATCATTCAACAACATTTAAGACTAAAGTCAAATTATTGAAAGCTGCAAGAAAAATATGTGTTCCAAAAGGAAATCTTTATTTCAATCTATTCATCAAAGCATCAAAGCAAACATTCCTACAGTATCTAATAGTAATAAAGCAGAACACATCAAATCTAGCACTGATACAACCTCAGTCTACAGAGAGGATTGGAACATGAACTCAAGCAAAACCCTCTGTTAGGCTACATGTCAGTGATTAATAATACAGAGAACATCTGATCTCAGAACAGTCAAAGCAGAGGAACCAGCTCCAGCTGTACAGGCTGTCCTTCTCCAGGACCCCGGGACTGGCCTCCTGATTCTTGCTGGTCCCGTCCACTTTCCAGCTCATGGTCCAGTCTGAGGGGAAGCCCTTGTTGGCCAGACACGTCAGTGTGGCTGTTGTTGTACTGGATAGCTCCTCACTAGAAGGGGGCAGGACGGTGAGGGTGGGGGCACTGTTACCTGGAACAAACAAAATTCATCAACTAAGTAACTACATCAAATACAGCTACAGTAAGAAATGATCTTAAGCAAAGTACACAAGTGAATTGGAAATGCCCTCTAAATATGAATGTATAAGTTACATTGTTTAAAAGATGTAGAGAAAACACTAAAGCAACATGATACAAAGCACATTTATGAACCTAACAAGTATAAAGTGGTTAAATAACTAGAGTTACTAGTCATATGGTGTCAGTTACACGTCATACAGATATTGTTCAGGAATGGATCTGATCAGAATAGCCTACTCATATTCATAGTATTTTCATCACATACCACCCATGTTCCATCATGAAGTAGGTTACAAACATAACTGAGACCCTTTGTCTTCACACTAACAGCAAAGTCTACCATGAACACAATTCAACAGTGATGAATACTATATACTATACTTTTAAATAGTTATTATACCAGAATTAGGAAATATACAAATCAGACATACAAATAAACCTACAATTTATTATTTTGATTCCATAAATATCTATTTGAAAGAAGGCTCATTAAAAAGCTCAATTTAACCAAAAATATTTGACATTTAAAGATCAACAATCGCACACAAACAGTAATACACAATGCAACAACTATATTCAATATTATTAAATAGTTATCATACTATAATTATACTCTGCAATCCATCAAACCAGACATATAAATAAACACCTACATTTTAACATTTTGGTTAAATAAAATGTTATTTGAAAGAAGGCTTCGTCAAAAGTAATAGAAAAATATATATTTATTAGAAAGTAAAATATGTTAAATCGCAATATTTTCATAGAAAGAGTTTAAGAAAGTAAAAAATAAATATATTTTTTAGTCTGTAGGTACAGTCCAGCATTAGACCCAGTGTTGCTAGTATTCTTCCATATTGTCCATATGAAAGACAACAGCAGCAGCAGTAGTGATAGTGATCCATGTTGTATATTCCTTTATTAAAGATGTTGATCTCAGATTTAACAGTGGTGGTAAAGTCACAGAGGACAGACAACACTACCAGAGGAATCCTACCAGCTTTAGTTTAGAGAAGTGTTCACTAACTGATTAGAGGAACTTACATGAGAGAACAAGCATGAGTGAACAGACAGTTCATTATATCTGATCATCATCAGAATAAAAATACAATGGTGGTGTGACATAAAAGTTACCATGCATCAGTTATCTGAGTAAACAGTTGCTGTTTGATGTTATTAAAGGGGCAGCAGGTAGCTAGCGGTTAGGACGTTGGCCTAGTTATCGAAAGATCGCTAGTTCAAATCCCCAGGCCGACACGGTGAAACATCTGTCGATGTTCCCTTTAGCAAGGCACTTAACCCTAATTGCTCCAGGGTCGCAGTTGATAATGGCAAATCTTGGCCGTGACCCCACTTTCCGAGGTTGTCTCAGGGGGAGTTTGGATATAAAAAAATTATAATAATCTATTAAAAATAGAAATAGTACAAATATAAGCACCCACCTAATTACTATTATTATAAAAACAAGTTCATGCAGGACAAAATATATTCTAATGATGGGAGCCTACTCGGAAACTGAAATAGATTTGAAGCATTCATTTGCATAATGCATCTGCCCCACTGCTCTGTGAGTGTTTATATCCCTGTGAGTTGAACACTTCATGACTGAGAGCTGTCCTTCATGACAACAGAACCCACAACAACCATGACCTTTATCACCATATTCATCTGGACACTTGCTTTCTGCTTCAAGGGTAAAGAAAATTAAGTTCCATGTTTGTATCCTGAAAAGTAAACAATTTGAGTGAACTGAAGGTTGTTAAGAATGTGTTATTCATTCCTGGTGATGTACAATTATTCTTTTTTTCTCTGTTTCAGAATCCAGAGGACAGATCACTGTGACTCAGACTCCTGCAGTGAAAGCTGTTCTCCCAGGACAGACAGTCTCTCTGAACTGTAAAATCAGCAGTAATGTGTATCCTGACTGTGGGGGTTCAGGTAAACCATGTTTAGCCTGGTATCAACAAAAACCTGGAGAAACTCCTAAAGCACTAGTCTACTATGGAAGCACCCTCTTCTCTGGGACTCCATCTAGATTCAGTGGCAGTGGATCTGGGAGTGACTTCACTCTGACCATCAGTGGAGTCCAGGCTGAAGATACAGGAGATTACTATTGTCAGAGTTTCCACTATCCCAATAGTAAACATGTGTTCACACAGTGATACAGAGCCGTACAAAAACCTCCCTCAGTCAGACTGCACAGTGACTGTACTGCTACAGCTGGGACCTACTGCAGGTGCTGAGGGGGAAGAGACAGTGACATGGAACACTGATCAGTAAGGTCAACTTACAACTTATAAAAGTTAAATTAAGTTTTAAAACACACAATACCTGTCCCTATGCAGAGTCAGATATACAGAAGTAAAAAATTAATAAAGGTGGTGTTACATCAGCTTCAGCCTCCCTAAATCAAATCCCCATATGTACCTCACAACCAAATATTGATGTGATCATCTAGCATTATATTAACTGTTTTGGTGATCAGGTTACTGACTGTTACATCTGTGAATAAGACATGATGCTGGGCTCGAACATTAGACACATTTATGTAGAGACATACACTATACAGTATTAGCAAAAAGTATAATATAAATTTTATATGTCATTAATTACATGATGGCATATCTATTGTGTGTCCCTCTCAGAATCCACTATATAGGTTCAAACCAGTCACTCCCTCACATCTGGCCCAGTCCAGGGTATTTCAGGCAGTGGAACTGTTCAACTGCTAGACTGGTAGCTGTGGGAGTGAAACTGAGATTTACATAGACAGGGCTGGGTGGTTCTGCTTGTCCCAGATTAGAGTAGCACTCTCAAAACAATCTTTATTTCAACTCAGAGGTAAGAAGGCATGCACAACTTAATCTCAAAATAGTTCATTTAGCACACAACACTACTGATATTATTCACTATTATACTAACGTTCAGATGTAAATCACTAATGTTTCCTTCACTAGCACCATGTGTGGACTCTCTAGACCCCTATCTAGATCCTGCAGAAATATAAAACACTGAGCTAAATATATCAGTGATGCTGACAATATGTCAACTCATCCCCTCTCATGTCAAAGCATTCCTTAAGTGATAACACCCATAGGTCCAGACTACATACATATTCCTCCCCTGTTGCTATGGCAAACAAACTTTTTTGTAACATATCACACAATAAGTTGAATGGACTCCATCTATGTGCAATAGTAATGTCTCACATCATTTCAGAATAAATAACCCAGCTTCTGTAAGGTCCCTCAGTCAGGTAGTGAATGTAAAGCAAATATTAAACAATATTTATTGAGATTATGTAACATTATTATAACCCCCTAAAATGTCCTGTGGTTCTGTCAAGGCAAAACGTCTCTCTTGCCACACCTTTTCAGCACCTTCCCATTCTTTAATTGAACCCAGCTGAGGCTTGTTAACCAATTCAGACCATGATTGGCTGGACAATGCTGCTGCTCACACAAACCTCTTCTATGAACGAAGGTTGTGAGAGGTGAAGGAAGCATGGAGAGGTCAGAGATAGTCAGACTTGTAAAATGGGCTAAGGAACAGAAGTTGGGTTTTGGAGAAGTGCCATCAGTGCGTGCTCTGCAAGCAATGTAGCTGATGAAGGTGCGACAAGAGCGTGGTGAACGGACAGATGTGATTGTGGACAGCAAGGAAGAAGGAGAAGAGCCGAGTGTAGTGGGAAGATGTGTGTTGAGGAAGAATGGAGTCAGACATGATAAAGAAGAATCTGGACCAATAGTAGTGACATTTTGGAGAAGGTGGACCCTTGTCTTTTGGCAGATCCATTTGTGGTTTCAGGGTGGGTGAGAAAGGAGTTGGAGGTAGTTAAATCAGTGAAGTTAACCAGGATGAGAGGGAGAGGGCGCTCCGTGTCACGTAACTTGGGTCAAGATCTGTTTCTTGCTTTGCTCTTAGGAACAGGGCACCATTGAAAGGGGTGATTTCTGGGGTAGCATTAAGTGTGGATGTAGCGATTGAAGTTGAAAATGTCTGGTGTTTGTGACGCCCGCCGTTTGGTGTGACACAGGTCCGGTGGGGAGAGTGGTGAAACAGAGGAGTCATTGTCAGTCCTTTTGAGTTTTGAGCCAGACAAAGTCATGTTAGGATATATTAGTTATCCTGTTAGAGCATTTGTGCAGAATCCACTGCGCTGTTTCAGGTGCAATGTTTATGGTCATGTTGCAGCAGTGTGTAGGAGGGAGATTCTAAGATGTGGGAAGTGTGCGGGATGTCATGGGACAGAGGATTGTGTAGTTTCGGTGGATAAAGTTGTGTGTGTGTGTCAACTGTAGGGGTGCTCATGTTGCTGGAGATCGGAAGTGTCCGGTGCGAGAGAGGCAGGTTGAAGTGGCCAGAGTCTAAGTAGTGCCAGCTGAGTCTAAGTAGGGTGTCCTAAGCTGAGGCAGTGAAGGAAGTGGAGGAGGATGGGTCAAGGGAGAGGGATCCTGATAGGATCCCAGTGAGTAGTAGATTTGTGCCAGCACAGAGGGATAGGGCAAGAAGTGAGTTATGCTTCAGTAATGTTGTCTTCTTAGTATTCAGAGCAATGGTTATCAACTGTACCGCAGAAATGGAACATAAATCACAGAGAATGGATGTTGTGGTGGCAGCTGCAGAGAAGTATTTGGGTATACGAGATTTGACAACAACCATTACTTTTATCACCATCTTCATCTGGACACCTGCTTTCTGCTTTCAAGGTTACAATATATTTTACACAAAGGAATAATGTTAACATTTCATATAACTTTTTTTTCTATGTTTCAGAATCCAGAGGACAATACACTGTGACTCAGACTTCTGAAATGAAAGCTTTCCACCATGGAGAAAGAGTCAGTTTAGGATGAAGATTTCACAAGCCTCCTGCTTGTAGTCGCCCTCCTGCTTGTAGCCTGGTATAAACAGAAACCTGGAGGAGCTCCTAAACTCCTCATTTGCTATACCAAAACGCTTCAGTCTGGGACTCCATCTAGATTGAGTGGTAGTGGATCTGGGACTAATTCCACTCTGACCATCAGTGGAGTCCAGGCTGAAGATGCAGGAGATTACTACTGTCAGAGTTACCACTATCCCAACAGTAAACAAAAACCTCCCTCAGTCAGACTGCACAGTGACTGTACTGCTACAGCTGGGACCTACTGCAGGTGCTGAGGGGGAAGAGACATTGACATGGAACACTGGACCTGTGGGTGTTGTCAGTTCAGGAATGATTTAACTAGAGCGTGGAAAAGTTGACATTATAGTCAGCATCACTGATATATTTAGATCCGTATATTTTAGTTCAGTCAGACCACATAAATATGCCTTCCCTGTTGCTATGGCAAACTAACCTTTTATTAACATGTCAGACAATAAGTTGAATGGACTCCATCTATGTGAAATATTGTCTCACATGATTTCAGAATAAATATCCCAGTCTCTACAAGGTCCCCCAGTCAGGTAGTGAGTTTCAAGCAAAAATTCAACCATATTTACTAAGATCATTTAACATGATTATAACCCACTAAAACAACCTGAGGTTCTGTCATACAAGAGACAGTGACAAGGAACACTGGTTAGTGAAGTCAACTTTGAATATGTTTAGAAAGCATCATTCAGATCACATGTTCCCAATCATCATTGTAGTGCACCTCCAAAAGTTATTTGAAGTTCTGAAATACCCACAATACCAGTCCAATATGCAAAATAAGATGTAGAGAAGTAAAGAAGAAGAAGGTGATGTTATATCAGCATCAAACCCCCTAGATACAATTCCCATAATGCACCTCACAACCAAATATTGATGTGATCATCTTGCATTATATTAACTATTTTGGTGAGCAGGTTATTGACTGTTACATCTGTGAATGAGACATGATGCTGGACCTGTGAATGTGACATGATGATGGGCTCAAACAGACCTATTATATGTCATGAATTACATGATGGCAGATCTGTTATGTCTCCCTCCCTGAATCAACCATATAGGTTAAAACCAGTCACTCCCTCACATGTGGCCCAGTCCAGGGTATTTCAGGCAGTGAAACTGTTGAACTGCTAGACTGGTAGCTGTGGGAGTGAAACTGAGATTTACATAGACAGGGCTTGGTGGTTCTGCTTGTCCCAGAATAGAACTGTACTGTCACCGGACGTTCACTCTGTCCCCAGAGGGTTGGAGGTAGAGAAGACTATATGACTATCTTGAAGATGTGATACTTCTACTATTATGTGGACAACTTTTTAAATAAATGTAGCTTAATGCAGGTGTGAGCACATTGGTGATCATCGAAGATATCGATGAAATGTTCAATAGCATTAGATTACTGTCTTTATAAGTCTATAAGCCAAGCAGGTCAAAATCTTCCAAGAAATATGAATAAAGAGTACCTACTACATGTGGCTAAACCTCTCCTGTTAATCTGTGTAAATTGTAGTATCTTGTGTTAGTATGAACTACTGGTTGATGACGTTGTGGTTAGAACATAAATAACTAAGCAATGAGGTTTAGGTCCGATAGTTTTCATAGAGACTGTGAATCCGGCTTTATGAATGTATTTCAATATCATTCAACATTTAAGACTAAAGTCTAATAATTGAAAGATAAATCTTTATTTTCATCTATTCATCAAAGCATTAAAGCAAACATTCCTACAGTATCTAATAGTAATGAAGCAGAACACATCAAATCTAACACTGATACAACCTGTCTACAGAGAGGATTGACACATGAACTCAAGCAAAGCCCTCTGTTAGTCTACATGTCAGTGATCAATAAGACAGAGAACATCTGATCTCAGAACAGAGTCAAAGCAGAAGAACCAGCAGCCTCTCTCCACAAGGCTGTGTGACTGAGGGGTCCTACCCAGAACAGTCAGCCCTCCTCAGGGTCTTGGTGACTGGAGTCTGGGATTTCTGCTGGGCTTCACAGGTCACCTCTCCTGCCTTGGTCCACTCCTGGGCAGTGAGAGTCAGGGTGCTGCTCCAGCTGTACAGGCCGTCTTTCTCCAGGACCCCGGGACTGGCCTCCTGCTTCTTGCTGGTCCCGTCCACTTTCCAGTGCATGGTCCAGTCTGAGGGGAAGCCCTTGTTGGCCAGACACGTCAGTGTGGCTGTTGTTGTACTGGACAGCTCCTCACTAGAGGGGGGCAGTACAGTGAGGGTAGGGACACTGTTACCTGGAACAAACAGAACACATCAACTAAGTAACTACATCAAGTACAGCTACAGTAAGAGATGATCTTCAGCAAAGGACACATCAAATTAATGTGACCTCTAAATATGAAAATAAAGGTTACATTGTTTAAAAGATGTGGAGAAAACACTAAAGTAATACGATACAAAGCAGATTTGTGAACCTAACAAGTATAAAGTGGTTAAATAACTAGAGTTACTATACATACTGTGTCAGTTACACATGTCATACATATATTGTTTAGGAATGGATCTGATCAGAATAGCCTACTCATATTCATACTATTTGCAGAATTTGAGCATTAATTAATTTTAAATACTTATCAAACATGTTAGATCATGAAGTCGGTTTCAAACTGAGACCTTTTGTCTTCAGAGTAACAGTGAAGGCTACCATGAACACAATGCAACAATGATGCTTACTATATCCAATACTATTCAAATGTAATTTTAAAAACATCTAAAATATTGAAATATTTTAATAGAGACAGAGTTTAGGAATGTAAATACCACGTTCTATCAGAAAGAAATATAAAGAGAGCTTGTTACTTACTTCCAACATCAAGTCTGGTGCCGCTACCAAAAGTGTACCACAGTGATACAATCCCTATTACTGCTCGTACAAAAACCTCCTGCAAATTTGACAAGCTGAATTTCTTTAGACTTTGTTTTAAATCATTTAATTTACTATGGTATGAATACTTGCCAAAGATCATTTTATCTTGTTCATTTGAAATAAAGTATTTTCTGTTTTGTTTTACCAAAAATTTTGCAAAACCTACTCTTTATTGTACATTTCTTAAAAGGTGCAGTATGTTTATTCATACAACTCAGCTAAAACGTAGACTAATCACTCTCATCGTTTAAAGGCAGGTCAAAGTTGATTCGATGTAATAACATTCATATTCTAACTGGCCATTGTATATTTCCCCCCAAAATCATGTAAAAAAAAAAAGGTATTTAAAGAAATCCTCAATATCGAGGCTAAATTGATAGAGAAATTGAAAGACTACATCAAAAGGTAAAGAAAATGGTTAATTTTGTGTTTACTTACTTCCAACATCAAGTCTGGTGCCACTACCAAAAGTCAACCACAGTGATACAATCCCTATTACTGCTGGTACAAAAACCTCTCTGTGTTGTGATGCTGCAGCTGTTACAGTGAAGATCACTCATACAGAAACATCATCAACACAAATACACTTTAACATCTTCCAGGTAGAACAAACACTTTAAATAAGCTGTTTCTAGATAATACAAATATGAATTGTATCTTAAATCCAGATATGAGTCTTATTTCCTTCTTCTGTGTATCAGGTGTTCTCCTAGTCTGTAGGTACAGTCCAGCATTAGATCCAGTGTTGCTAGTATTCCTCCATATTGTCCATATGAAAGACAACAGCAGCAGCAGTAGTGATAGTGATCCATGTTGTATATTCCTTTATTAAAGATGTTGATCTCAGATTTAACAGAGGACAGACAACACTACCAGAGGAATCCTACCAGCTTTAGTTTAGAGAAGTGTTCACTAACTGATTAGAGGAACTTACATGAGAGACCAAGCATGAGTGAACAGACAGTTCATTATATCTGATCATCATCAGAATAAAAATATAATGGTGGTGTGACATAAAGGTTACCATGCATCAGTTATCAGAGTAAACAGTTACGGTTTGATTTTATATGCAAGATAAAACACATTCTAATGATGGGAGCCTATTTGGAAACTGAAATAGATTTGAAACATTCATTTGCATAATGTATCTGCCCCACTGCTCTGGGAGTGTTTATATCCCTGTGAGTTGAACACTTCATGACTGAGAGCTGTCCTTCATGACAACAGAACCCACAACAACCATGACTTTTATCACCATCTTCATCTGGACACTTGCCCTCTGTCTCCAAGGTAATATATTTTACTGAAAATTAACCAAACCATTGCAATAGTAGGCTATATAACCTTATTACAGTTTAAGTTAATATGCTATATGGACATATGAATGAACAATTTAATGCTAATTCTACATGCCATCTCTGTTTCAGAGTCCAGAGGCCAGGTCACTGTGACTCAGACTCCTGCAGTGGAAACTGTTTCAGTGGGTCACACAGTCAGTCTTAGCTGTAAGACCAGCAGTGCTGTATACAGTAACATCTATGGACACTATCTAGCCTGGTATCAACAGAAACCTGGAGGAGCTCCTAAACTCCTAATATACTGGGCTAAAACTCTTCAGTCTGGGACTCCATCTAGATTCAGTGGTAGTGGAACTTGGAGTGACTTCACTCTGACCATCAGTGGAGTCCAGGCTGAAGATGCAGGAGATTACTACTGTCAGAGTTTCCACTATCCCAATAGTAAAGATGTGTTCACACAGTGATACAGAGCCGTACAAAAACCTCCCTCAGTCAGACTGCACAGTGAATGTACTGCTACAGCTGGGACCTACTGCAGGTACTGAGGGGAGGAGATGATCCAGTACAATGACACAGTGTGTATTAGAGCTGAACAACAATAGCTACTCCAATCTTTTAGATCATATTCAGTCACTATCCCATGGGTTCTTGACTGCATTTTTACTCATTATTATTGACTATTTCATGGAGAACCATGAACCCATTTATCTTCAAAAGGCTTCAAATCTGGAATCATCCAATACAGACTTCCTGATGCCCCTTGGCATTTTTTAAAATAACTTCAGACCCATTGGACATTGTATTCTTAAGAAGTAGAGGAGATACTGGGTTTCATGTATTGTAATGATGGTCTACAGAGTCCCAGTGTGTCTGGTCAGAGAAACAGGACAGGAAGGAGCTGAACTCAGTCAGGAACAGAGTAGCAGTCCTGCATAGTGGAACCCCTCTTCTCTCAGTGTCAGTCCAGTAGTCCAATAGTCCAGTAGTCCAATATTCAGTCCACAGCACACAGTACTCTCCCTGCGGTGGGCGACCAATTACCAATGATCACTTGGGGGGGGGGGGGGGGGGGGGGGTGGAAACTGACTGGTATTCCTCTTTTCCATAGATATGAATATCTTACTATATCATATTAAATAATTAGATGGGTGCTTGCATTTGTCTTATTTCACACATGTAGAAGTGTGTATGATACACAGGTGAATTGGACATTTGTTTTTTTGCATCTGGTACTCACAGCCATGGATCTGCCAATTAGAGAGGGCAACCCTGGAGCAATTAGGGTTAAATGCCTTGCTCAAGAGCACATTGAAAATATTATTTCACCTAGTCTGCTCGGAGATTCAAACCAGCAACTTTTTGGTTACCAGCCCAACGCTCTTAACCGCTAGGCTACCTGCCGCCCTCATTACCATGAACACTAATCAACAGACAAAGTTATATATGTTCTTTAGTTACATTAATATGTGTTTTTTCTTTATATTTTCTCCAGTATTCATTATGGTATTGTCTTGCTAAACGACATTGATAGTGATCATATGTGATAGCCTTTAAAACAATAATACTCATTCTATTCATACCCTTTTTATTCACTTAATTATTTACATATTATCATGGATTATGACTATTAGGTTACAATTGTGGGAGTAAGATCATCAGATTGTAATGGACTCTCAGGTCTAATCTGATGGATACTTAGTGGTCTAAGTTTACTGAATAATGGTGGATGGGGAGAAGACCAAAATACTATTTGCATAGTGATGAAGCTCTGCATAGACAGCACATGCTTCAGTGGTCTGAGAGTGTTTATATCCCTGTGAGTTTAACACTTCATGACTGAGAGCTGTCCTTCATGACAACAGAATCCACAACAACCATGACTTTTACCACCATCTTCATCTGGACACTTGCTTTCTGCTTCAAGGGTAAAGAAAATTAAGTTCCATGTTTGTATCCTGAAAAGTAAACAATTTGAGTGAACTGAAGGTTGTTAAGAATGTGTTATTCATTCCTGGTGATGTACAATGATTCTTTTTATTCTATTTTTCAGAATCTAGAGGACAGTACACTGTGACTCAGACTCCTGCAGTTAAAGCTGTTCTCCCAGGACAGACAGTCTCTCTGAACTGTAAAACCAGCAGTAATGTGTATTCTAATAACTATCTAGCCTGGTATCAACAGAAACCTGGAGGAGCTCCTAAACTCCTAATATACTGGGCTAAAACTCTTCAGTCTGGGACTCCATCTAGATTCAGTGGTAGTGGAACTTGGAGTGACTTCACTCTGACCATCAGTGGAGTCCAGGCTGAAGATGCAGGAGATTACTACTGTCAGAGTTTCCACTATCCCAATAGTAAAGATGTGTTCACACAATGATACAGAGCCGTACAAAAACCTCCCTCAGTCAGACTGCACAGTGACTGTACTGCTACAGCTGGGACCTACTGCAGGTGCTGAGGGGGAAGAAACAGTGACATGGAACACTGATCAGTAAGGTCAACTTACAACTTATAAAAGTTAAATGAAGTTTTTAAAACACACAATACCTGTCCCTATGCAGAGTCAGATATACAGAAGTAAAAAATAAATAAAGGTGGTGTTACATCAGCTTCAGCCTCCCTAAATCAAATCCCCATATGTACCTCACAACCAAATATTGATGTGATCATCTAGCATTATATTAACTGTTTTGGTGATCAGGTTACTGACTGTTACATCTGTGAATGAGACATGATGCTGGGCTCGAACATTAGACACATTTATGTAGAGACATACACTATACAGTATTATCAAAAAGTATAATATCAATTTTATATGTCATTAATTACATGATGGCATATCTATTGTGTGTCCCTCTCTGAATCCACTATAAAGGTTCAAACCAGTCCACTCCCTCACACCTGGCCCAGTCCAGGGTATTTCAGGCAGTGGAACTGTTCAACTGCTAGACTGGTAGCTGTGGGAGTGAAACTGTGATTTATATAGACAGGGCTGGGTGGTTCTGCTTGTCCCAGATTAGAGTAGCACTGTCAAAACAATATTTATTTCAACTCAGAGGTAAGAAGGCATGCACAACTTAATCTCAAAATAGTTCATTTAGCACACAACACTACTGATATTATTCACTATTATACTAACATTCAGCTGTAAATCACTCATGTTTCCTTCACTAGCACCATGTGTGGACTCTCTAGACCCCTACAATGGCTTCTAGACACTACAGTGACTTCTCCGGAAGGCGGCCAAATCACTGGTATCGTCATGGACGATCCTGCAGAAATATAAAACACTGAGCTAAATATATCATTTACATTATTACATTTTAGTCATTTAGCAGACGCTCTTATCCAGAGCGACTTACAGGAGCAATTAGGGTTAAGTGCCTTGCTCAAGGGCACATTTACGTCATTTAGCAGACGCTCTTATCCAGAGCGACTCACCAATTGGTGCGTTCACCCTATAGCCAGTGGGATAACCACTTTACAATTTTTGGGGGGGGGGGGGGGGGGGGGGGGTAGAAGGATTACTTTATCCTATCCCAGGTATTCCTTAAAGAGGTGGGGTTTCAAATGCCTCCGGAAGGTGGTGAGTGACTCCGCTGTCCTGGCGTCGTGAGGGAGCTTGTTCCACCATTGGGGTGCCAGAGCAGCGAACAGTTTTGACTGGGCTGAGCGGGAACTATGCTTCCGCAGAGGAAGGGGAGCCAGCAGGCCAGAGGTGGATGAACGCAATGCCCTCGTTTGGGTGTAGGGACTGATCAGAGCCCGAAGGTACAGAGGTGCCGTTCCCCTCACTGCTCCATAGGCAAGCACCATGGTCTTGTAGCGGATGCGAGCTTCAACTGGAAGCCAGTGGAGTGTGCGGAGGAGGGGGGTGACGTGAGAGAACTTGGGAAGGTTGAACACCAGACGGGCTGCGGCATTCTGGATGAGTTGTAGGGGTTTAATGGCACAGGCAGGGAGGCCAGCCAACAGCGAGTTGCAGTAGTCCAGACGGGAGATGACAAGTGCCTGGATTAGGACCTGTGCCGCTTCCTGTGTAAGGCAGGGTCGTACTCTCCGAATGTTGTAGAGCATGAACCTGCAGGAGCGGGTCACCGCCTTGATGTTGGCGGAGAACGACAGGGTGTTGTCCAGGGTCACGCCTAGGCTCTTCGCACTCTGGGAGGAGGACACAGCGGAGTTGTCAACCGTGATGGCGAGATCATGGAACGGGCAGTCCTTCCCCGGGAGGAAGAGCAGCTCCGTCTTGCCAGGGTTCAGCTTGAGGTGGTGATCCGTCATCCATACTGATATGTCTGCCAGACATGCAGAGATGCGATTCGCCACCTGGTTATCAGAAGGGGGAAAGGAGAAGATTAGTTGTGTATCGTCAGCGTAGCAATGATAGGAGAGGCCGTGTGAGGATATGACAGAGCCAAGTGACTTGGTGTATAGGGAGAAAAGGAGAGGGCCTAGAACTGAGCCCTGGGGGACACCAGTGTTAAGAGCACGTGGTGCGGAGACAGCTTCTCGCCACGCCACTTGGTAGGAGCGACCGGTCAGGTAGGACGCAATCCAGGAGTGAGCCGCGCCGGAGATGCCCAGCTCGGAGAGGGTGGAGAGGAGGATCTGATGGTTCACAGTATCAAAGGCAGCAGACAGGTCTAGAAGGACAAGAGCAGAGGAGAGAGAGTTAGCTTTAGCAGTGCGGAGAGCCTCCGTGACACAGAGAAGAGCAGTCTCAGTTGAATGACCAGTCCTGAAACCTGACTGGTTTGGATCAAGAAGGTCATTCTGAGAGAGATAGCAAGAGAGTTGGCTAAAGACGGCACGCTCAATAGTTTTGGAAAGAAAAGAAAGAAGGGATACTGGTCTGTAGTTGTTGACATCAGTGGGATCGAGTGTTGGTTTCTTGAGAAGGGGAGCAACTCTCGCTCTCTTGAAGACGGAAGGGACATGGCCAGCGGTCAAGGATGAGTTGATCAGCGAGGTGAGGTAGGGGAGAAGGTCACCGGAGATGGTCTGGAGAAGAGAGGAGGGGATGGGGTCAAGCGGGCAGGTTGTTGGGCGGCCTGCAGTCACAAGTCGCAGGATTTTATCTGGAGAGAGAGGGGAGAAAGAAGTCAAAGCATAGGGTAGGGCAGTGTGAGTAGGACCAGCAGTGTCATTAGACTTAACAAACGAGGATCGAATGTCGTCAACCTTCTTTTCAAAGTGGTTGACGAAGTCATCCACAGAGAGAGAGGAGGGGGGGGGCGGGGGGGGGGGATTCAGGAGGGAGGAAAATGTGGCAAAGAGCTTCCTAGGGTTAGAGGCAGATGCTTGGAATTTAGAGTGGTAGAAAGTGGCCTTAGCAGCAGAAACAGATGAAGAAAATGTAGAGAGGAGGGAGTGAAAAGATGCCAGGTCGGCAGGGAGTTTAGTTTTCTTCCATTTCCGCTCCGCTGCCCGGAGCTCTGTTCTGTGAGCTCGCAATGAGTCATCAAGCCACGGAGCTGGAGGGGAGGACCGAGCCGGCCGGGAGGATAGGGGACACAGAGAGTCAAAGGATGCAGAAAGGGAGGAGAGGAGGGTTGAGGAGGCAGAATCAGGAGATTGGAGGGAGAAGGTTTGAGCAGAGGGAAGAGATGATAGGTTGGAAGAGGAGAGAGTAGTGGGAGAGAGAGAGCGAAGGTTGCGGCGGCGCATTACCATCTGTGTAGGGGCAGAGTGAGTAGTGTGGGAGGAGAGCGAGAGAGAAAAGGAAACAAAGTAGTGGTCGGAGACATGGAGGGGAGTTGCAGTGAGATTAGTAGAAGAGCAGCATCTAGTAAAGATGAGGTCAAGCGTATTGCCTGCCTTGTGAGTAGGGGGGGACGGTGAGAGGGTGAGGTCAAAAGAGGAGAGAAGTGGAAAGAAGGAGGCAGAGAGAAATGAGTCAAATGTGGACATAGGGAGGTTGAAATCCCCCAAAACTGTGAGGGGTGAGCCATCCTCAGGAAAGGAACTTATCAAGGCGTCAAGCTCATTGATGAACTCTCCAAGGGAACCTGGAGGGCGATAGATGACAAGGATATTAAGCTTAAATGGGCTAGTGACTGTGACAGCATGGAATTCAAATGAGGAGATAGACAGATGGGTTAGGGGAAAAATTGAGAATGTCCACTTGGGAGAGATGAGGATTCCTGTGCCACCACCCCTCTGACCAGATGCTCTCGGGGTATGCGAGAACACATGGTCAGATGAGGAGAGAGCAGTAGGAGTAGCAGTGTTTTCAGTGGTAATCCATGTTTCCGTCAGTGCCAGGAAGTCGAGGGACTGGAGATTAGCATAGGCTGGGATGAAGTCAGCTTTGTTGGCAGCAGAACGGCAGTTCCAGAGGCTGCCTGAGACCTGGAACTCCAGGTGTGGGGTGCGTGCAGGGACCACCAGGTTAGAGAGGCAGCAGCCACGCGTTGTGGGGCGTTTGTGTAGCCTGTGCGGAGAGGAGAGAACAGGGATAGGCAGAGGCATAGTTGACAGGCTGCAACAGATGGCTACAATAATGCAGAGGAGATCGGGATGAAATGAACTGAACATCAGGGAAAGGAGAGAGCAGGCCTCCCTCACCAAAAAATAAATAAATATATAACTCTCCCAACTTCCACCTCAGAAACTATAGTTGTTTCACTGAACCACCCGAATAAAACTCTCCCAACTTCCACTTTAGAAATTAGAATTGTTGTAAGCTACAGTAGACTGTTATCAGTAGCTGTAATTAAGTACAGCAGCTACCAACCACCTAACGTTAATGCCTCGGATGAGGTTAGAAAAACAGCTGAATGGTAGCAGCTAGCTGGCTCAATCACAGGTACTCTCAAGCATGAAATAACATTGGAAACAGCTAAGCACAGTTGCTAAAAGTTACCCACAGTTGCTAAAAGTTTCCGGTAGCTACCCTCTAGCTAGCTAGCTTTGTTGGTCCAGGTAGTGGGTAAGCTAGCCTCGTGCTTCGCCTGGGCTCCGCCGAATAAAATCCTTACCTACAATAATTACCTACAGTAATAACCTACAATAACCACCGGAGTAAGCTACCTATAATACCAAACTACAATACCTACCTACAATCTAAATACATGGTTTAAGCTTAACTCAACACCATATAAGAAGCCAAGCTTACCTTTCATAACGCAGCAATGATTAAACGTTGGGTAGCTAGCACAAAGACATTGTATTTAGTTACCACAGCCTGCTGGTAGTGTTGGCTAGCTAGCAATGGCTACTGTGTTGACTTTGTTTGAAAAACGGCGTCGCTGTGAGCGAATGTAGCTGGCTAAAAGGATATTGTTTTTAGTTGCTACCGTTGCTAATAGCTACTCGCCAGCTAATCCAGGAGGTGAGTTAGTTAGCTAGCTTCGTGCTACATCCGGCACCGCCGAATACAAAAGTAACCTACAATAATTACACACAACAGCTACCCGCAACAGCCCACGATGCCTACCTATACTACTTAATAATATACAGCCCACGATGCCTACCTATAGTACCTAACTACAATCTAAATACATAGTTTAAGCCTTAGTCGACAAAGCCCAAGCTATGTATAAAGCCAAACTGGCAGACTGCAATCAGTAGCCGAAATTAGGTACAGCAGCTACCGACCACCTAACGTTAATGATAATGAGGTTAGAAAAAACAGCTGAAGGTGGCAGCTAGCTGGCTCAATTACAGGTACTCTTAAGCGTGAAATAACATTGGAAACAGCTAACCACAGTTGCTAAAAGTTACCCACAGTTGCTAAAAGTTACCGGTAGCTACCCTCTAGCTAGCTAGCTTTGTTGGTCCAGGTAGTGGGTAAGCTAGCCTCATGCTTCGCCTGGGCTCCGCCGAATAAAATCCTTACCTACAATAATTACCTACAATAATAACCTACAATAACTACCGGAGTAAGCTACCTATAATACCAAACTACAATACCTACCTACAAACTAAATACATGGTTTAAGCTTAACTCAACACCATAAACGAAGCCAAGCTTACCTCTCCTGCTAGAGAAAACACAACCTCTCCCGTCAGGAGACACATACATCAGTGATGCTGACAATATGTCAACTCATCCCCTCTCATGTCAAAGCATTCCTTAAGTGACAACACCCATAGGTCCAGACTACATACATATTCCTCCCCTGTTGCTATGGCAAACAAACTTTTTTGTAACATATCACACAATAAGTTGAATGGACTCCATCTATGTGCAATAGTAATGTCTCACATCATTTCAGAATAAATAACCCAGCTTCTGTAAGGTCCCTCAGTCAGGTAGTGAAATTAAAGCAAATATTAAACAATATTTATTGAGATTATGTAACATGATTATAACCCCCTAAAATGTCCTGTGGTTCTGTCAAGGCAAAACGTCTCTCCTGCCACACCTTTTCAGCACCTTCCCATTCTTTAATTTAACCCAGCTGAGGCTTTTTAACCAATTAAGACCATGATTGGCTGGACAATGCTGCTGCTCACACAAACCTCTTCTACAAATGAAGGTTGTGAGAGGTGAAGGAAGCATGGAGAGGTCAGAGATAGTCAGACTTGTAAAATGGGCTAAGGAACAGAAGTTGGTTTTGGAGAAGTGCCATCAGTGCATGCTCTGCAAGCAATGTAGCTGATGAAGGTGCGACAAGAGCGTGGTGAACGGACAGATGTGATTGTGGACAGCAAGGAAGAAGGAGAAGAGCCGAGTGTAGTGGGAAGATGTGTGTTGAAGAAGAATGGTGTCAGACATGATAAAGAAGAATCTTGACCAATAGTAGTGACATTTTGGAGAAGGTGGACCCTTGTCTTTTGGCAGATCCATTTGTGGTTTCAGGGTGGGTGAGAAAGGAGTTGGAGGTAGTTAAATCAATGAAGTTAACCAGGATGAGAGGGAGAGGGCGCTCCGTGTCACGTAACTTGGGTCAAGATCTGTTTCTTGCTTTGGAACAGGGCACCATTGAAAGGGGGGATTTCTGGGGTAGCATTAAGTGTGGATGTAGCGATTGAAGTTAAAAATGTCTGGTGTTTGTGACGCCCGCCGTATGGTGCGACACAGGTCCGGTGGGGAGAGTGGTGAGTCATTGTCAGTCCTTTTGAGTTTTGAGCCAAACAAAGTCATGTTAGGATATATTAGTTATCCTGTTAGAGCATTTGTGCAGAATCCACTGCGCTGTTTCAGGTGCAATGTTTTTGGTCATGTTGCAGCAGTGTGTAGGAGGGAGATTCTAAGATGTGGGAAGTGTGCGGGATGGCATGGGACAGAGGATTGTGTAGTTTCGGTGGATAAAGTTGTGTGTGTGTGTCAACTGTAGGGGTGCTCATGTTGCTGGAGATCGGAAGTGTCCGGTGCGAGAGAGGCAGGTTGAAGTGGCCAGAGTCTGAGTAGTGCAGAGGGTGTCGTATGCTGAGGCAGTGAAGGAAGTGGAGGAGGATGGGTCAAGGGTGAGGGATCCTGATAGGATCCCAGTGAGTAGTAGATTTGTGCTAGCACAGAGGGATAGGGCAAGAAGTGAGTTATGCTTCAGTAAGGTTGTCTTCTTAGCATTCAGAGCAATGGTTATCAACTGTACCGCAGAAATTGAACATAAATCACAGAGAATGGATGTTGTGGTGGCAGCTGCAGAGAAGTATTTGGGTATATGAGATTTGACAACAACCATTACTTTTATCACCATCTTCATCTGGACACCTGTTTTCTGCTTTCAAGGTTACAATATATATTTACACAAAGGAATAATGTTAACATTTCATATAACTTATTTTTCTATGTTTCAGAATCCAGAGGACAATACACTGTGACTCAGACTTCTGAAATGAAAGCTTTCCACCATGGAGACAGAGTCAGTTTAGGATGTAGATTTCACAAGCCTCCTGCTTGTAGTCCCCCTCCTGCTTGTAGCCTGGTATAAAAAGAAACTTGGAGGAGCTCCTAAACTCCTCATTTGCTATACCAAAACACATCAGCCCAGGCTGAAGATGCAGGAGATTACTACTGTCAGAGTTTCCACTATCCCAATAGTAAAGATGTGTTCACACAGTGATACAGAGCCGTACAAAAACCTCCCTCAGTCAGACTGCACAGTGACTGTACTGCTACAGCTGGGACCTACTGCAGGTGCTGAGGGAGAAGAGACAGTGACATGGAACACTGGACCTGTGGGTGTTGTCAGTTCAGGAATGATTTAACACGAGCGTGGAAAAGTTGACATTATAGTCAGCATCACTGATATATTTAGATCCGTATATTTTAGTTCAGTCAGACCACATAAATATGCCTTCCCTGTTGCTATGGCAAACTAACCTTTTATTAACATGTCAGACAATAAGTTGAATGGACTCCATCTATGTGAAATATTGTCTCACTTGATTTCAGAATAAATATCCCAGTCTCTGCAAGGTCCCCCAGTCAGGTAGTGCGTTTCAAGCAAAAATTCAACCATATTTACTAAGATCATTTAACATGATTATAACCCACTAAAACAACCTGAGGTTCTGTCATACAAGAGACAGTGACAAGGAACACTGGTTAGTGAAGTCAACTTTGAATATGTTTAGAAAGTATTCAGATCACATGTTCCCAATCATCATTGTAGTGCACCTCCAAAAGTTATTTGAAGTTCTGAAATACCCACAATACCAGTCCAATATGCAAAATAAGATGTAGAGAAGTAAAGAAGAAGAAGGTTATGTTATATCAGCATCAAACCCCCTAGATACAATTCCCATAATGCACCTCACAACCAAATATTGATGTGATCATCTTGCATTATATTAACTATTTTGGTGAGCAGGTTATTGACTGTTACATCTGTGAATGAGACATGATGCTGGACCTGTGAATGTGACATGATGATGGGCTCAAACAGACATATTATATGTCATGAATTACATGATGGCATATCTGTTATGTCTCCCTCCCTGAATCCACCACAGAGGTTAAAACCAGTTCACTCCCTAACATCTGGCCCAGTCCAGGGTGTTTCAGGCAGTGAAACTGTTCAACTGCTACACTGGTAGCGGTGGGAGTGAAACTGAGATTTGCATAAACAGGGCTGGGTGGTTCTGTTTGTCCCAGAATAGAGCAGCACTGTCACAAGATGTTCACTCTGTTCCCAGGGGGTTGGAGGTAGAGAATACTCTATGGGGCGGCAGGTAGCTTAGTGGTTAAGAGCGTTGTGCCAGTAATCGAAAGGTTGCTGGTTCTAGGTGAAAAATATCCTGTTAACATTGTAGAATCTAGAACTCTCCTGTTAATCTGTTAACATTGTAGTATCTAGACCTCTCCTGTTATTCTGTTAACATTGTAATATCTAGACCTCTCCTGTTAATCTGTTAACATTGTAGTATCTAGACCTCTCCTGTTAATCTGTTGACATTGTAGAATCTAGACCTCTCCTGTTAATCTGTTAACATTGTAGTATCTAGACCTCTAATTTTAATCTCCTAACATTGTAGTATCTAGACCTCAAATTTTAATCTCTTAACATTGTAGTATCTAGACCTCTCCTTTTAATCTGTTAACATTGTAGTATCTAGACCTCTCCTGTTAATCTGTTAACATTGTAGTATCAAGACCTCTAATGTTAATCTCTTAACATTGTAGTATCTAGACCTCTCCTTTTAATCTGTTAACATTGTAGTATCTAGACCTCTCCTGTTAATCTGTTAACATTGTAGTATCTAGACCTCTCCTTTTAATCTGTTAACATTGTAGTATCTAGACCTCTCCTTTTAATCTGTTGACATTGTAGTATATAGACCTCTCATGTTAATCTGTTAACATTGTAGTATCTAGACCTCTCCTGTTAATCTGTTAACATTGTAATATCTAGACCTCTCCTGTTAATCTGTTAACATTGTAGTATCTAGACCTCTCCTGTTAATCTGTTGACATTGTAGAATCTAGACCTCTCCTGTTAATCTGTTAACATTGTAATATCTAGACATCTCCTGTTAATATGTTAACATTGTAGTATCTAGACCTCTCCTGTTAATCTGTTAACATTGTAGTATCTAGACCTCTAATTTTAATCTCTTAACATTGTAGTATCTAGACCTCTCCTTTTAATCTGTTAACATTGTAGTATCTAGACCTCTCCTGTTAATCTGTTAACATTGTAGTATCTAGACCTCTAATGTTAATCTCTTAACATTGTAGTATCTAGACCTCTCCTTTTAATCTGTTAACATTGTAGTATCTAGACCTCTCCTGTTAATCTATTAACATTATAGTATCTAGACCTCTCCTGTTAATCTGTTAACATTGTAATATCTAGACATCTCCTGTTAATCTGTTAACATTGTAGTATCTAGACCTCTCCTGTTAATCTGTTAACATTGTAGTATCTAGACCTCTAATTTTAATCTCTTAACATTGTAGTATCTAGACCTCTCCTTTTAATCTGTTAACATTGTAGTATCTAGACCTCTCCTGTTAATCTCTTAACATTGTAGTATCTAGACCTCTCCTTTTAATCTGTTAACATTGTAGTATCTAGACCTCTCCTGTTAATCTGTTAACATTGTAGTATCTAGACCTCTAATGTTAATCTCTTAACATTGTAGTATCTAGACCTCTCCTTTTAATCTGTTAACATTGTAGTATCTAGACCTCTCCTGTTAATCTATTAACATTATAGTATCTAGACCTCTCCTGTTAATCTGTTAACATTGTAATATCTAGACATCTCCTGTTAATCTGTTAACATTGTAGTATCTAGACCTCTCCTGTTAATCTGTTAACATTGTAGTATCTAGACCTCTAATTTTAATCTCTTAACATTGTAGTATCTAGACCTCTCCTTTTAATCTGTTAACATTGTAGTATCTAGATCTCTCCTGTTAATCTGTTAACATTGTAGTATCTAGACCTCTAATGTTAATCTCTTAACATTGTAGTATCTAGACCTCTCCTGTTAATCTGTTAACATTGTATTATCTTGACATCTCCTTTTAATCTGTTAACATTGTAGTATCTAGACCTCTCCTGTTAATCTGTTAACATTGTAGTATTTAGACCTCTCCTGTTAATCTGTTAACATTGTAGTATCTTGTGTTAGTATGAACTACAGTTTGATGAGCCTGATTCACAGTTTCTTTTAAAACGATCAGACCTAAATGTCATTGCTTAGTTATTTATTTTTATGTCATTCAACAATTAAGACTACAGTCTAATTATTGAAAGAGACAACTAAAATATTTGTTCCAAAAGTATATCTTTATTTTAATCTATTTTTCAAAGCATCAACGCAAACATTCCTACAGTATCTAATAGTAATAAAGCAGAACACATCCAATCTAACACTGATACAACCTCAGTCTACAGAGAGGATTGACACATGAACTCAAGCAAAGCCCTCTGTTAGTCTACATGTCAGTGATCAATAAGACAGAGAACATCTGATCTCAGAGGAAGCAGAGGAACCAGCAGCCTCTCTCTACAGGGGTGTGTGACTGAGGGGTCCTACCCAGAACAGTCAGCCCTCCTCAGGGTCTTGGTGACTGTAGTCTGGGATTTCTGCTGGGCTTCACAGGTCACCTCTCCTGCCTTGGTCCACTCCTGGGCAGTCAGAGTCAGGATGCTGCTCCAGCTGTACAGGCCGTCCTTCTCCAGGACCCTGGGACTGGCCTCCTGCTTCTTGCTGTTCCCATCCACTTTCCAGCTCATGGTCCAGTCTGAGGGGAAGCCCTTGTTGGCCAGACACGTCAGTGTGGCTGTTGTTGTACTGGACAGCTCCTCACTAGAGGGGGACAGGACGGTGAGGGTGGGGACACTGTTACCTGGAACAAACAGAACACATCAACTAAGTAACTACATCAAGTACAGCTTCAGTAAGATCTTCAGCAAAGCAGGGGTGTAAAGTACTTCAGTAAAAATACTTTAAAGTACTTCTTAAGTAGTTTTTGTAGGGTATCTGTACTTTATTTGACAAACATAAAGACAAATATAAGCACCCACATAATTACTGTTATTATAAAAGCCAGCTCAAGCAGGACAAAATATATTCTAATGATGGGAGCCTACTAAACTGAAATAGATTTGAAACATCATTTGCATAATGCATCTTCGCCGCTGCTCTGAGAGTGTTTATATTGTAGCCCTGTGAGTTTAAGACTTCATGACTGAGAGCTGTCCTTCATGACAACAGAACCCACAACAACCATTACTTTTATCACCATCTTCATCTGGACACTTGCTTTCTGCTTTCAAGGTTACAATTTTCCGAATTTATTGTTGAAAATATTATTAGATCTACTCCATTTAAATGTATATCAAAGTTAATATTTCTATTCAGTACTTTGAATTACTATACTATTTCATTCACAGACATTTTTTCAGTCAATTTATCAGAATCCAGTGGACAGTACGTTGTGACTCAGACTCCTGCAGTTAAAGCTGTTCTCCCAGGACAGACAGTCTCTCTGAACTGTATAACCAGCAGAAATGTTTACAACAATAACATTTTAGCCTGGTACCAACAGAAATCTGGAGGAGCTCCTAAACTCCTTATTTACTATGCTACAACACTTCAGTCTGGGACTCCATCTAGATTCAGTGGCAGTGGATCTGGGAGTGACTTTACTCTGACCATCAGTGGAGTCCAGGCTGAAGATGCAGGAGATTACTACTGTCAGAGTTTCCACTATCCCAATGGTAAAGATGTGTTCACACAGTGATACAGAGCCGTACAAAAACCTCCCTCAGTCAGACTGCACAGTGACTGTACTGCTACAGCTGGGACCTACTGCAGGTGCTGAGGGGAAGAGACAGTGACATGGAAGGTCAACTTTGAATATGTTTAGAAAGCATCATCATGTTCCCCATCATCATCATCATCATCGTTATCATGGTTGTAACTCATTATATTTGTCATGATCTGAAAGTTCACCATCTTCATCTGGACACTTGCTTTCTATGTACAAGGTATACGAATTATGAATATCTAAGTAATGATAATTAAGTAAGTAATGCAAGCATATAACAATAATATAATGTCTCACAGCATTTCAGAATAAAACCTGATCCCTCTGTCAGGTTGTGAATTTCAAGAGACAAATCTACTATATTTATTGAGATGGTATAACATGATTATAACTCCTAATCCCTAAAACAGTGTTTCCCAAACTTCTCCTTAAGTACCCGAGGAAGTCCACATATTATTTTATTCCAGAATTAGTACAGCTGATTTACCTAATGAGGGGCTTGCTGATTAGGTGACCATTAGAATCAGCTGTGCTAGTTCTGGAACACATCAAATAAGTGGACTGTCTGGGGGACTTGAAGAGTCGGCAGGTAACTTAGTGGTTAAGAGCGTTGTGCCAGTAACCGAAAGGTTGCTGATTCTAATCCACGAGCCGACTAGGTGAAAAATCTGTCGATGTGCCCTTGAGCAAGGCACTTAACCCTATTTGCTCCTGAGTGTCTGCTAAAGAAAAGGTTTGGGAAACACTGCCCTGAATGACCTGTCGATGTGCCCTGAGCAAGGCACTATAACCGGTATGTTTGGCTGAGTGTACCAAATCTGTAGTGCCTTGCAGTCAGCGACGGTGGAGTTGCCGTACCAGGCTATGATGCAGCATGACAGTATGCTCTCGATGGTGATCCTGTAGAGCACTGTGATGTCCCTTGGGGACAGGCCGAATTTCTTCAGCCTCCTGAGGTTAAAGAGTCGCTGTCGTGCCTTCTTCACCACAGAGTCCTGTGTTTTGACCATTTCAGCTCCTCGGAGATGTGTACGCCGAGGAACCTGAAGTTTTTTACCGTTTCCACGGCGGCTTCGTTGATAAGGATGGAGGCGTGCCCAGCCTTATTTCTCCTGAAGTCCAGAATCAGCTCCTTTGTTTTCCTGAGGTAGTGGTTGTTTACCTGACACCACACCATCAGAGTGCCTACCTTCTCCCTGTATGCTGTCTCGTCGTTGTTGGTTATCAGGCCTACTACTGTTGTTTCGTCAGTGAACTTGATGATGGAGTTGGAAATGTGTGAGACCACGCAGTCGTGGGTATACAGGGAGTACAGGAGGGGACTGAGTACGCACCCTTGTGGGGCCCCCGTGTAGAGGATCAGTGGCACCGGTTAGCAAGTTTCCATATGCATATACACAGCTCAAAAAAATTAAGGGAACACTTAAACAACACAATGTAACTCCAAGTCAATCACACTTCTGTGAAATCAAACTGTCCACTTAGGAAGCAACACTGATTGACAATACATTTCACATGCTGTTGTGCAAATGGAATAGACAACAGGTGGAAATTATAGGCAATTAGCAAGACACCCCCAATAAAGGACTGGTTTTGCAGGTGGTGGCCACAGACCACTTCTCAGTTCCTATGCTTCCTGGCTGATGTTTTGGTCACTTTTGAATGCTGGCGGTGCTTTCACTCTAGTGGTAGCATGAGACGGAGTCTACAACCCACACAAGTGGCTCAGCTAGTGCAGCTCATCCAGGATGGCACATCAATGCGAGCTGTGGCAAGAAGGTTTGCTGTGTCTGTCAGCGTAGTGTCCAGAGCATGGAGGTGCTACCAGGAGACAGGCCAGTACATCAGGAGACGTGGAGGAGGCCATAGGAGGGCAACAACCCAGCAGCAGGACTGCTACCTCCGCCTTTGCGCAAGGAGGAGCAGGAGGAGCACTGACAGAGCCCTGCAAAATGACCTCCAGCAGGCCACAAATGTGCATGTGTCTGCTCAAACGGTCAGAAGCAGACTCCATGAGGGTGGTATGAGGGCCCGACGTCCACAGGTGGGGGTTGTGCTTACAGCCCAACACGTGGTCCTCTGTAGCTCAGCTGGTAGAGCACGGCGCTTGTAACGCCAAGGTAGTGGGTTCAATCCCCGGGACCACCCGTACACAAAAAAACGTATGCACGCATGACTGTAAGTCGCTTTGGATAAAAGCGTCTGCTAAATGGCATATTAATATTTATATTATTAACACCGTGCAGGACGTTTGGCATTTGCCAGAGAACACCAAGATTGGCAAATTCGCCACTGGCGCCCTGTGCTCTTCACAGATGAAAGCAGGTTCACACTGAGCACGTGACAGACGTGACAGAGTCTGGAGACGCCGTGGAGAACGTTCTGCTGCCTGCAACATCCTCCAGCATGACCGGTTTGGCGGTGGGTCAGTCATGGTGTGGGGTGGCATTTCTTTGGGGGGCCGCACAGCCCTCCATGTGCTCGCCAGAGGTAGCCTGACTGCCATTAGGTACCGAGATGAGATCCTCAGACCCCTTGTGAGACCATATGCTGGTGCGGTTGGCCCTGGGTTCCTCCTAATGCAAGACAATACTAGACCTCATGTGGCTGGAGTGTGTCAGCAGTTCCTGCAAGAGGAAGGCATTGATGCTATGGACTGGCCCGCCCGTTCCCCAGACCTGAATCCAATTGAGCACATCTGGGACATCATGAATCGCTCCATCCACCAATGCCACGTTGCACCACAGACTGTCCAGGAGTTGGCGGATGCTTTAGTCCAGGTCTGGGAGGAGATCCCTCAGGAGACCATCCACCACCTCATCAGGAGCATGCCCAGGTGTTGTAGGGAGGTCATACAGGCATGTGGAGGCCACACACACTACTGAGCTTCATTTTGACTTGTTTTAAGGACATTACATCAAAGTTGGATCAGCCTGTAGTGTGGTTTTCCACTTTAATTTTGAGGGTGACTCCAAACTCCATGGGTTGATACATTTGAATTCCATTGATCATTTTTGTGTGATTTTGTTGTCAGCACATTCAACTATGTAAAGAAAAAAGATTATTTCATTCATTCAGATCTAGGATGTGTTATTTTAGTGTTCCCTTTATTTTTTTGAGCAGTGTACATAATAAGTGTAATTAGAAAGAAATATCAAGAGAGCTTTTTACTTACTTCCAACATCTAGTCTGGTGCCGCTACCAAAAGTGTACCACAGTGATACAATCCCTATTACTGCTGGTACAAAAACCTCCTGACCATTGGGCAAGCTACATTTCTTTATACTGTGGTTGAAATCATTGACTCTAATATGGTATGAATACTAGCCAAATATGATTTTATCTTGTTCATTTGAAATAAAGTATTTTTTGTTTTGTTTTCCCCCAAAATTGCAAAACCTGTTTATTGAAGATTTCCTACAAGGTGCCGTATGTTTAATCACACATCTAATAAATGTAAGCTAATCACTCTCATCGTTTAAAGGCAGGTCAAATTTAATTAGATGTAATGACATACTTATTAAAATTGGCCATATTATGTCCCAAAATCATGTAAAAGAAAGTAAGTAAAACAATTCTCAATATCGAGGCTAACTTTATATAGATATTGAAACACGACATCAAAAGGTGAAAAAAACTGTTAATTTTGTTGTTTACTTACTTCCAACATCAAGTCTGGTGCCGCTACCAAAAGTCCACCACAGTGATACAATCCCTATTACTGCTCGTACAAAAACCTCTCTGTGTTGTGATGCTGCAGCTGTTACAGTGAATATCACTCATACAGAATCATAATCAACACAAATACACTTTAACATCTTCCAGGTAGAACAAACACTTTATATAAGCTGTTTCTAGATAATACAAATATGAATTGTATCTTAAATCCAGATATGAGTATTTTTTCCTTCTTCTGTGTATCAGGTGTTTTCCTAGTCTGTAGGTACAGTCCAGCATTAGATCCAGTGTTGCTAGTATTCCTCCATATTGTCCATATGAAAGACAACAGCAGCAGCAGTAGTGATAGTGACCCATGTTGTATATTCCTTTATTAAAGATGTTGATCTCAGATTTAACAGTGGTGGTAAAGTCACAGAGGACAGACAACACTACCAGAGGAATCCTACCAGCTTTAGTTTAGAGAAGTGTTCACTAACTGATTAGAGGAACTTACATAAGAGAACAAGCATGAGTGAACAGACAGTTCATTATATCTGATCATCATCAGAATAAAAATACAATGGTGGTGTGACATAAAAGCCATACATGAGTTATTTGAGTAGAAAGAGTAAACAGTTGCTGTTTGATGTTATTAAAGGGAAGGCAGGTAGCTAGCGGTTAGAGCGTTGGCATAGTAACCTAAAGGTTGCTAGTTTAAATCCCCAGGACGACACGGTGAAATGTCTGTCGATGTACCCTTTAGCAAGGCACTTAACCCTAATTGCTCCCTGGTCACCGTTTATAATGGCAGATGCTGGCTGTGACCCCACTCTCCTAGGATGTCTCAGGGGGATTTGGGATATCCCTTCACAAAAACATTTCCAATTCCCGTATAATACACGTGTGAATTGGACAAATATAAGCACCCACCTAATTACTATTATTAGAAAAGCAAACTCATGCAGGACAAATATATTCTAATGATGGGAACCTAGATTTGAAACACTGATTTGCATAATGTATCTGCCCCACTGCTCTGGTAGTGTTTATAGCACTGTGAGTTGAACACTTCATGACTGAGAGCTGTCCTTCATGACAACAGAACCCATCCTTTTATCACCATCCTCATCTGGACACTTGCTTTCTGCTTTCAAGGTTAACGTTTTCAGAATATATTGTTGAAAATTAGTTAAATATACACAAAGCAATAATGTATATTAATGTTAATATTTCTATTCAGAACTATTGATTACTATTCCAGAGGACAAGTCACTGTGCCTCTGACTCCTACAGTGAAAGCTGTTCTCTCAGAACAGCCAGTCTCTATGAACTGTAAAACCAGCAGTAATGTGCATGGAGATTGTTACAATGGTCAGTCATCGGGCCATCAGTGTCTATCCTGGTACCAAAAGAAACCTGGATAAAACCCCAAACGCATGATGCTTCCAGGGAACACACTCCCAAACTCCTTGTTTATCAATGAAGTATTCTTAGATCTGGGACTCTATCTAGATTCAGTGGCAGTGGATCTGGGAGTAACTTCAGTCTTACCATCAGTGGAGTCCAGGCTGAAGATGCAGGAGATTACTACGGTCAGAGTGTACACGTCATCAATAGTAAAGATGTGTTCACACAGTGATAC